TCTTTATTTAAGAAGTTACACTAAAATGTTTTGAAGTCTTATGGAACCAAAAACACTGAAAAATGTTCTCGTGGCTAAAATAAATTTAATTTATTCTTTCCTACATTATTACAGTAAAGTGAATTACTATAATAACAATGAAAACATGCTTTCATTTATATATTTACAAATACTTAATTTTTAAATATGCATCTCTAAACACAAATCAATATATATCTACTGTCTGAGCATCCTTTCAGATGATTTTAATACTAGTTTATTTCACACTTGTAAGAATTAATTAAAAACTGTCAGTCTTCAAGTCCTCTACTTCATAGCCTCCATTTTAATCCATTACTTTCCAGATCTTTTTCTCCACAAGAATTAATGATACAAGTCTAATTCCAGACCCATAATCTACGAGTCCTCTTAGTGTGTGAGCCATCTATTCTGAGCAAGCCAGTCTTCTATCTCTGCTCTTCCCCCAACCTGCTGCCATCTTCAAACACACAAGCATAGTGTGAGAACTGTGGCCATGAACCCTCTCCATTTGTGTACCCCCTTTTCCTGGTCTAGCCAAAGACCCATGGTTTCTGAGGCATCTTTCCCTGGTACAGTTAAACAGCCCACCCACAAATTTTACCTGGCCTGGCTGAGGTTATGCATCTCCTGTACTGGTCCAATCTAAGTAAGGCCAGATTTTCACATCAGATACAATCACGGAAAGAAGTTCACATGCCCAGGTGAAATTGAAGAAATAAAAGAAACATGAATAGTCAAAACAGCATGTCTCCCATCAAAACAACTAGTCCTACAGAGGTGTTCTCTTAAACCCAGGAAACAGAATTTAAAAGAACAAGAAATTTAAAGAAGACATAAACATTTATTGAGCACCAAGAGGGTAATAATAAGCACTTGAGTGATGTCCAAGAAAATATAAATATGCAAAATAGTGAAGATAATTCAGGATGTGGAAACTGAATTGAAAAGAGATAGAAATGTTGAAGAGGACTCAAGCTGAAATAAAGATGGAATTGAAAAACCCAAAAACCCAACTAGAAAACCAAGGACAGTCTTACAAGTGGAATGAATCAAGCAGAAGATAGAATATCAGAATTCAAACATAAAGAAGAGAATCGAGACAAAATAAGAAAAAGGAAAAGAAAAAACTTAAAGTACAGGAAAGAAATATATAGGAAATGTAGAATGCCACCAAAAGACCAAATCTTTGAATTATGGCATAAAAGATGGGGAAGAATCCCAGATCAATGGCATAGACCAAATCTTTAGCAAAATCATAGAAGAAAACTTCCCTAAACTAGGGAAAGACATAGCCATCCAGATACAAGAAGCACACAGAATCCCAATCAAACAAGACCAAAAGACAAACACCCTATGGCTTTTCATAGTCAGAACACTAAATATACAGAACAAAGAAAAAATATTGAAAGCTGCAAGAGAACAAACACAAGTCATATATAAAGGAAAAACCCTTCAGAATAACACCTGATTTCTCAATGGAAACTCTAAAAGACCATGACTCCCAACCTAGACTACTGTACCCAGGAAAATTATCTGCTATAGTAGAAAGAGAAAGGTAATTTTTCCATGATCTAAAGTTGTTCTATGAAGCCAGTACTCTCCCAAACCAAGTAAAGATAAAACAACACACAAAAAACTAAACTACAAATTGATATTCCTGATGAACATAGACGCAAAAATCTCTAATAAAATACTAGTAAACTGAATACAAGAACATACCAGGAAGATCATCTACCATGATCAAGTTGGCTTTTCATTTCCATAAGTATAATAAATCATATAAGCTTAAAGACAAAATCACATGATCATCTCAATATCTGCAGAAGAAATTTTGACAAAATCCAACATGCCTTCATGATAAAAGTCCTAGAGAAAGTAGTTCTGGAGGGAACATACTTCAATATAATACAGGCTACATATGACGAACCCACAGCCAACATATCCTGGATGGAGAAAAACTCAAAGCAATCCCATTAAAACCAGAAAAAAGAAAGGGCTCCCCACCACCCTCACTCCTTTTCAATATTGTGCTGGAAGCACTAGCCAGAGTAGGAAGGCAAGAAAAGAAATTAAAGGGATAGAAATAGGAAAAGAAGTCAAATTATCTCTATTAGCAGATGATACAGTTATACATAAGAGATCCTTAAAAATCCCACCAGAAAACTAGAAACAATCAACAATTTCAGCCAAGTGACAGGGTTAAAAATCAACTTTTAAAAATCAGTAGCCTTTCTATACACCAAGCAAAAACACATTACCAATAACAAACGTGCTAAGAACGAGACATGGACACACTCCTATTTACAGTATCACCAAAACCACTAAAATATCTTGGAATAAACTAAGGAGATGAAAGACATCTACAATGAAAACTCAGATGTCTAAAGAGAGAGATTAAGATGCTAGAAAGTGAAAAGGCATTTCATGTTCATGGATCAGTAGAATCAATATTGTGAAATGTAGCCATTTACAGACTCAAAGCAGTCCCAATCAAAAGCCCACAAAATCGTGGAGTTAGCACAGAAATCAGGAAAGTAGAAGTAGGCCCTGGGGTGGGGTGAGAGAAAAATAGCAGAATATAGGTGATATGAAGTGGGAAACGGAAACATGGGGAGGGAGCTTCAACTGGGAGCATAGAAGGAGGATAGTGCATGAGAGGGAGGGACAAAGACAATAACAAGATTGTTTGATAAAGTCTCAAAGAGTCATATTATTTTACATTTATCTAAAATTATACACAACACACACATAAAATACACACACACATGCATTCACTCTCACACACACATACATTATATATATATATATATATATATATATGTAAAAATAATAAAGAAAAAGATGTTATCAAATTGATAGTGGGGGAGACATGGAAGGGCTTGTAGAGAGGTTTATCTGGTATGAGCTGAAGTAAGGAAATGGAGGGAGAAAGTTATGTAACTTTATTTCAATTTAAAACATATTTAAAAGAACTATTGAATATAGCCTTATGAATAAAGTATATAATAGTTACTAAAATAATTAATAAACCTTATTTCAAAATAAGTCAGACTCACTCCAGGATTCTCTGATTTTGCTACCCAATAATAAAATATTTTGACTCATTTATTTAAATAACAGCAGTATTCAAGGCAATCCATTGAACTTGTGTTCAATGAACTTGTCTCTTGTTTTCTGATTGGAAGAAAAAAACAACAATCTTAGCTAGCTTGGTGCAAGCTTTTAATCCCAGCGGTTGGAAGGTAGAGGTAGCCAGATCTCTGTGAGTTTGATGCCAACCTGATCTACATAGTTAGTAGTAGGACAGCCAGAGCTATGTAGAAAGATCCTGACAGAGTCCCATCTGGCCATTTCTTGACACCAAACAAATCTTCCAATACCAGGACTGGGTCACATCCAATAGAGTTTTTGACCAAAGGGGTCCCATGGAAATTCTCAAACAACCCAAGCAATTGCCAAGGTAAATTGTTCTCTTCAAATGAACAACAAGGCCCCATTGCTGAGGACAACACCCACACAAATCATTAAACATGGAGATGGTGAGCTGGTGCCTACATAGAACCTTCACTCCCATCTTCTATGGTCTTTGGTACGGGAAGGTACTCCACAGGCTACCAAAAGAGAAACATAAACACCAACCCAGCCACAAAACCTTTGACCTACAATGGTGTCCTGTCTGTAAGATATACTAAGGTAATTGTGGCATAAAGCTTCTGGGAGTAGCCAACCAATGTCTGATTTGGCTTACAGCCCACTCCACGAGATGGAACCCATACCCAATACTGTTTAGGTGACTGAGAGCCAGAGATCAAAGAGAACAGAGAATTAGGTAAAAATAAATACCATGGATCTAAAAAAAAAAAGTAAGAATAAAATGACTCCTAAAGACATTTTGCTAAACTCATAGATCAGTGCCTTACTCAGCCATCATCAGAGAAGCTTCCTCCTGTAGCAGATGGGAACAAACAATGAGATCCACAATCAAACATTATGCAAAGAGAGAGACCTTGGAATACACAGTTCTAAATAGGTTGTCTCCATCAAATCCCTCCCCTTAGAACTTGGGGAACCCTGTGGAAGAGCGGGTAGAAAGAATGTAAGAGCCAGAAGAGATGGAGAACACCAGGAGAAGAAGGCCCTCTGAATCAACTGAGCAAGGCTCATATGAACTTACAGAGACCGAAGGAGCAAGCACAGGGCCTGGACCTGTGCCATGTACTCTGATATGTATTATAGCTTTCAGTTTTGTAGTGGGTAGCCATTCCAGCTTTGATCTGGAAGTTCCAACCCCCATTGAGACTTCGGCAACTTTCACACCTACAAGGCAGGGCCAAGGGAGGCGCCTGGAGGCCCAAGATCTGGATGGGCTGCGCTCTCACTCGGTTTCAGGACCTTGGATGGTGAAGGTGGGCCAAGCAGAGCTCCAGAGAACACCGCTGGACTGCGATACACCTTCCCCAGACCCCGCGACCTACCTATCCCTTAACTTGTAAGGTACGCCCTTAAATAAATCTCCTTTTAACTACGTGGAGTGGCCTTAATAATTTCACCAATATCTGGTGCCCAACGTGGGGCACAAACCCACGACCCTGAGATTAAGAGTCTCATGGTCTACCGACTGAGCTAGCCGGGATCAATTCTTTGCTTATTACAATATAAAGCATGTTACAGGTATACCACACAATCCCACAGGCCAAGCAGTCATAGAAAGATCCAATCGAACTTTAAAGGATATGCTAAATAAACAGCAACAGGTAACAATGACTCCTAGAAATAGATTACATAGTGCTTTATTAACCTTGAATTTTCTCAATACTGATGAGAAAGGAACAACAGCTGCGGAGAGACATTGGATGACAGACAAAACTCCTGAGCTAAACCGACCGGTTTATTTCAAGGATGTGCTGACCTCAAAATGGAAACCTGGATATGTTCTACGTTGGGGAAAAAATTATCATCATCACAGTAAAATCACTTACCTCAGGGCAGCAAGATGACTCAGTAGGCAAGGGTGCCTGCCACCAAACTTGATGACTTGAGTGTGATTCCCCAGAATCTGCATGATAGAAGGATAGCTGTCCTCTGCCCTCCACACACCCACCATGGCACCCATGTGCACATACACAAATAAATAAATTCTGTAAATGTTAAAAACAAAATTACTTTCCTGGATACAAGAGAAAAATGTAAGTGACTATGACCTGAATCACAACATTGAAATCTACTATACACATTTTGCGGGGGGGAAAACTATTGAAAACACAAAAGCATTGCTTTTCACCATTCTCAAATATATATAGTGTTATGCTTAGTCAAAAATTATGATTATTGTATGTGGAGCACAGTAAGACCATCAGGCAGATACATTATTTGAAACACAAGTCTCAGCTGTGTGTTAAAAAAATAACTACTATGTAAAACATTCAGCTAGATGTCCCCAGGTTGTAAGTGAAAACATATGCATGAGCTATTCCGAATTTACAGATAAATAAAAATGAAAAGGTCAGCATTGGCCTTTCTTCCTCACTGTTACTAAGCCTTTGAAATAAGCTCAGGAAATATATGCAGGTGGCTTTTTGATTAATTTGATGGAGGTACATCTATGGAACCAATTTACAAGTGATTTGCAGGCAAGCTGGCATTACTGAAATAAACGGTGCTATTACTATGATTTATGCTAGTATTCCAAACACAAATGATAAAGTGAAATTTACAGTCCTTAATTACCACCGTGAAGAATTGGGAGGGAGAGAAAGGAGCAAAGATTGGCAATTTGCAAACTTGTCAGTAAGGCAAGATGCAAAAATCTATTCTTTCTTTAAAAAAAAAAAGGCATTGTGTAAATTGGCCTTACTATATTGTTATCAATTCATTGAGGGGCAGAAGGGAGTGCAAAACCTGAAAACAAATGATCATAACTTAACCTTGGAATGCCAGAAATGCAGCTTAAGGAAACACCTAAAAAATGTATCCTGCACTTACAAAAAAGCAAGGAGGTGGCAAAATACAACACTGCTCATTATTTTGTGCCAGAAACAAGACTTGCTTTGCTCTTCAAATCCTTCCTTCCTAGACTATTTCTTAAATGCATTACACAGAGCGTGGGAAAGCAAATTGTTTTTCTCTTGTCCCGTTTGTATGTGATTAGCGCGTACAGTCTGTTCGGCTCTTCAGTGACATTTACAGAGATACTGTTATCCATGTGATGCTAACAAAGCTGTACACTGGATAACTTACCCTGAGAGTAGAATCTCAAACATTGCTGTTTTCAAGAGGCTGAGGATAATGTGAATACCTATGCTGGCTGGGCCCGTGGACCATTCCTCTCTCCAGCTTCCCTCAATTCCTGCCTGTGTGGTCCACTTTCTATCACTCTACTGAAATACCTAAGATAATTAACTAACCAAGAAGAGAAGATGCATTCCAATTCGTTGTTTCAGGTGTCTCAGCCTTTGGGCAGTTGTCTGGTGTTCTGGGGCTTATCCAATAGCAAGGGAGAATACCATGGCAGAATGAGTAGGGGAACAAAGCTGCTCACCTCATGATGGCTGTGGGGAGAGACAGAGTAGAGGCTAAGATTCTAAAATCTAAAATCATGCTCCCCAAAGGTCTAGCTTCCTGCTCCTAGGGCAGTGTTTCTCAACCTGTGGGCAGCGACCCCTTTGGAGACAAGCAACCTTTTCATAGGATTGCATAGCAGATACCCTGCATATCAGATATTTACATTACAATTCATAGGAGTAGCAAAATTACAGTTATGAAGTAGCAATGAAAATAATTTCATGGTTAGGGGTCACCATAACATGCAGAACTGTATTAAAGGGTCACAGTGTTAGGAGGTTGAGAACCACTGCTCTGCGGTCTCCTCTCCTAAAAGTTCTGCAGTATCCCAATAGTTCAGCAATATGGGAATCAAGTCTTTAGCACATGGGCTTTTAGAAGGTCTATCCGAACTACACAGCACTACCATCACAATGCTGCTGTTTCATTCCTGTCACACATGCTCTTGGGTGACCACCTACCACACGGGAATGTCTAGGGTTCCAGTGGATATGGTAATCACTACTGGAGAAAGTCAATTCAGCTGGGCAATGGTGGCGCAGGCCTTAATCCCAGCACTTGGGAGGCAGAGGCAGGCGGATCTCTGTGAGCTCAAGGCCAGCCTGGGCTACAGAGTGAGATCCAGGAAAGGCACCAAAACTACACAGAGAAACCCTGTCTCAAAAACCCAAAAAAAAAAAAAAAGAGAGAAAGTCAATTCAATCTGTAGCATTTCACAAGAGCAGTCATTCACATTATTTTACTGACTGGTTCAGAGTAGAACTCCAAAAAGTGGTGTAGCTTGGCAACTGATTGGATACGACAGGCAAGAGGGATGGAAGATTAAAAGCCAGCAGAGGTTTCTTGTTTGTCTGATTTAGAAAATTACACTGCAGTTTTAGGAATCAAGAAGTTACCATCAAAAGCTGAAAATTGATTCACTTCAGAAATATTAAGTTTTAGAGGCTGAAAAGAGACCCAGACACATGCATCTAGTAAATATCACTAAGTATGTGAAGTTGAATTTCTGGATAGCTTGGGTCCAGAGAGATAAATTTAGAAAAACTATGAATAGAAATAAAGGTTGCAGACATGGGTTAGAATAAAATAGGCATAGTTAAGATGCAAAGAACAATGATCAAAGCACAAAAATTTTTTAATGTTTTATTTAATTAACCAAAAGAAAAAATGAAATCAAGTACCAAATTAAATCTTTTAAAATATTAAGAAAGAAATGATCATCACATATGTGTATACACTATCTTAGTAATCTATGACTTTCCACTTAAAATTATTTCTCTCGTAACTGGGTATGGGGATCCAGCTTGACTTGAGCATAGCCATCTGGAATTTCGACCAGCACACCTGTCCTTGAGTAATCCTGTTGCTTTAGACAAAAGCAATATTACAGTGTATGTGGAGCTTTACTAATGGATCCTGGTGCCATCAGCATCAGAGATGTGTCTGGTGTCTTTGATATCATTATAGATTAAGAGTAACCAGGAATATTCCAGCTAGGATCTGGTCCTATTACCATGTGCAGCCTTCTTCCGGCCCAGCTTATAGGGACTCCCTAGTTTCGCCATTATCCATGACCATGCTTCTCCCAGAGCAATACTAGATCTGTCTGGCTTTGTTTGTCCTGCAGAATCTTGTGACAAGTTCTCATACACACTGGGGTTGTGTTTTCCACACACTGGAATATAAGGTGAGAAAAAAAAACACAGAGATAGCGTCTTATGGAGTTTATACCTTTGTATGTAAAACCTCCATAATTCTGATGGATTCTTATTTTATCTTTGCTTTGTTCTCAGAAAACCTTAAGAGCATGTGGGCATTCTACAGCCAAGTAGGTTCTCCATGTCTACTTCCCATCAACTCAGGCATCATTACTGCTCCATAAAATATATTTTAAGTGATTTTTCTCCATTTTCCTCCTAAGATTATCTATGATGATTTGATTTCACATCTTCTTTGATGATCTCCTTACTTCCAATCTGGAAGTTTTATACTTTTCCACTGGGCTTTTCCAACCCTCCATGTTACCTGTATTGTGACAGTATACCTTAAATGCTTAGCACTTTCTGCATTATTCTTAAAACACCCCACAAGGGATTTGAAATGTTCTGTTTCTTGTCCTTTATAAGTGCTTTAATCAATATTTAATATTAGCTACCATTTGAAGGCTTATTTGATGTATTAAAGATTATACAAAGTGCCTGACACTCATTATATCATTCCATCCTCTTTGAAAACCTTTGAATTAAGTGGTTCTATTTTCTCTAATTCAGTTAAAAACATTGAGTATGGGAAGGTTAGGTCTTATTCCAAAATCACACAGGAAGTAACCCATAGAGCTTGTATTTAATGCTAAGTCCAATGTTCATCATAATTATTGTGGAAAATCTATTGTGATTACTATGGATGTACTTTAGAAGTATATCTATTGTTAACCAATGTATTTCCATTATTTAAACACTATACAAAACAAATTCTCATTAGTGAGAGCAGGCATCAATTTGTCAATGCCAGTTCTAACTCAGAAAGATAAAATTCAGAGTTATTCTGTTCCTTCTTCCATCATCACCTCACACTTTTATCAATCACTATCCCAGTTCCCAAAAGACCCAGGAATTGTTTTAATGTCTCTTTACCATCCCCTCCGCTATTTTTCTACCATAATTACTCTGAATTCACCTTTATTGATAGACAATGATAAATGTGCATAAGATCACCACACTTTGAAAATACGCATTAATTTTCATTAGTCACATATTCTAGAGTTGACTTTTGTACATACATTGTTTATCAACTTTAATTTATTATGACTCCAAAATATTAATATATAAACACTAGCTATATAAAAGTCACACTATATCATTATCCATGTACATACATATTAATCTATGCACTGGTTATATTAAAGTCAGTATATACATATATAAGCATATGTACATATAATATCAGATAGCTTAGTGTAAGTTAATACCTCTTTTTATTTTAATATATACATAGAAAAACATACTCACACATGTATATATTTTAATGATACTAAACAACAAGCAGTATATATTATAAGCAGCTCTCAGGTAATGCAATACATATATTGATTCTCTACTATATTCTTTTCATCACTTTTCATAACTGAAACATTGATTACATTTATATTTTCTCAAACACTATAATAAATGAGCTTGCAATTATATTTAAAAGAAAACTGAAAATGTATCACAGCATGTGTATGAGGTCTTCTCTGGAAATCACGGTCCAATGTGATGGCCACTAGCCTTAGTTGGCTATTTAAAATGAATTAATTAAAAATAAAGTTAAAATTCAGTTATCAGTTTTACTAGCCCCATTTCAACTATTCAAAATCTATTTATAACTAATGACTAGCATTTTATAGAGAACATATACAGAACATTTTCCACTGTCATGGAAATTCTACTGGGCAATACAGATTTAGGAATTCATTCTCCTAAAGACAATCCCTAAATCAATCTCTAGGATTTCTCTTAAGATTACTTTCTCCTTCTAACCTTTGCTCTTTCGTTATGCTCAATATTTAGGTTTTATTAATTTTCTACAATCTACCACTTTGCCATAATATTACTGGGAATACTTTGTACTATAAGATTGATAATGACAGTGCTCACAGATTTAAAGTCTGCTGTGACTTTCCTTAAAATAACAGATGTTGAGTACATTCTCTGTCATTTCCTGTCCTCCTAAAAAATCTTAAAATATAAAGAAAGACATTTCTTCAAATGAGTCTCTCTAAGAGAGAGTGCAACCACTATGAATCTCGGTGGGAAAACCTTAGTTCTTGTTGAGGATTTTGTTTCTAGAGTTGGAAAGGAACTTCGTGGTTTGTTTTATTTTTTAAGGACAAGCTATTATTTTAGCTCAAGAATTCTGTATTTCTACCACTGTCAGCAATTTTATACTCTGAGCTTGTTTCTTTCCTTGAATTTCTTTTTTTTTTTTTTAATATTCAGAAGCCACTGGGACCCATGTATGAAGAGAAGTTAGGGGATTTATAGTCATGGTACACAGATGATAGCTGGCCAAGATGGATGAAGGCTCTATGTTGTGGGAACATTTTCTCCAGACTGAAACATTTCCACCTGGAGGGAGGGAAGAGGCTCACGAGGCTCACATGTAAGTCATCAGCTTACTGAATTTAATAAGGCTGGAGAAACTCACAAAAACTAGAAGACTCGGGAAACTCACAATATCCCAGTCCTCACCCTCTCCTCACAGCTCTATAGATACTCTACACTACCTTGGGTTGAGGATCCCTTCAGTGGTATAGCTAGCTGCCTTCAAGTTGTACAGGGAGCTCCAGGGATAGAGCTTTGGTTAATCATCGTTCAGGCTGATGTGGGCCCTTAAGTGAGGCAACTGATTGAGCCCCTAATCACCCATGCTTCTGAAAGTAATCTGTCTATATGCTAATATGCTAATAAACTCATTGTTTGTCCAAGCCTGGTTTAGATGAAATTGTTTCTTTGATCTGTCTTGCCTTTTCAATTTGAGTTGAATAGAAACTGACTCCCCAGTAAAAATCATATAACACCATAATCTTGTCTTTATAGGCACAGAATCTAGACTGAGCTATCTATACTTAAAGAGAGTAAAACATGAGGTTTATTTAATTCATATATATTTGTTAGAAATTCTATTTATTAGATTATGTTTTGCTTCCCTAATGACTGAAAATAAATATCAAAACACAGACCTCATCCTTTCCATATGAAAACTAAATTGACCTCCAGAGCAACCTTTCAAAGACAAATCAAATTTATCCAACAATACATATGTGGTGGCTTACTGTGAGTACTTAATGTTATGAAACTATTAGGTGTTTTAGAGGTTTTAACATTAATGTTCATATACTGATGAAATGCTCACTCTATCTCTGTGAGAGAGGAAGAGGGTCAAACCAGGCCTGACCATATCTGATACCATTGCTTGATATCCACAGCAGCAATACTGGCCCTGCCTG